CTAAAACTTATAAGCAATTAAAAAAAATTGCTATAACAATTACAAGCAAACAAACTTGTTTAAAATTATTGGTAAATAACCACAACTAAGGCTCAAGCAAAAAATGCTTCAAATATAAAAACCATAAACCAATCCAATTAGGATTCTATTTCGTCCAAAACTCTTTTCCATGCTTAGATATTTATGTTCAACAAAAAGATTAGTAGTCTAATTTTTTATTGCAATTCCAAATTTTATTCATTTGGTTTTGCATTTTTCCCCCATTCTCTTTCGCATAGGTATTCTTGTAAAGAAAATTAGCAGAAAAACACAACAAAATATAATGCGCACATTATTCACAAAAACATCCCTCAGCTTTTCTTTGTTTTTGGCAAAGTAGTGATTGAAAGAAGACAAAATTTTGTCCCCTCAGTTTTTCTTTGTTTTTGACAAAATAATGATTGAAGAAAGATAAATAAAAGGGTAAATTACAAATACATTCCTTGAGGTTTGCTTAAAATACAGATTCCCCATGTGGTTTGAAAAATTATAAATACCCCCTATTAGAATTTTTTTATTTAACAGAATTAATTAAAAAGATGAAATTCATAATTGCTCTCCTATACAATAATAAAATTACCTAAATTATTAATTAAAATATATCTTTAACATCATTAAAAATAGTTAATTGGCTTGATGATTTATTAATAAAAGGGGCTATTTGTTATGAAATTAGAAACCTTAGGGAGTGGAGTGTAATTTTCAAAACCATAAGGGACGATTGTATTTTAATCAAATCTTAGAGTCGTTTTTGTAATTTACCCCCCCCCCAAAAAAAAACACTTTCTAGCAATCTAATTAATCGCAAAAATAAGTAAAGAATAAGATGCTAGACAAGTTACAAAAACCTTATAACCCTCAGTTAAATTATAGAACTTATAACTCTAAAACTTAAATTAAAATTAATTGACAATAGTTATAGAAAATCATTATACAATAAGCATGTAAATAATTCTAGCAATCATGCAAATAATTCTAGAGCACTTAACAATAATAAGCATGTAGTTTAACTTATATTTAGAAAATTTACAACATGCAAATTAGGATATAAATCTAAAATTAATAAATATGTGAAGTAAACTAGAATCTAGAACATATGAACATGTACATAATTCTAGAACTCTAGAAAATAAAGAATATGCAAGTTACCCTAAAAATCGAGAAAAAGAATAAACATGTGAATTAAACTAGAATGTAGTAGATATTGAACACGCAGATTCCCCATGTGGTTTGAAAAATTATAAATACCCCCTATTAGAATTTTTTTATTTAACAGAATTAATTAAAAAGATGAAATTCATAATTGCTCTCCTATACAATAATAAAATTACCTAAATTATTAATTAAAATATATCTTTAACATCATTAAAAATAGTTAATTGGCTTGATGATTTATTAATAAAAGGGGCTATTTGTTATGAAATTAGAAACCTTAGGGAGTGGAGTGTAATTTTCAAAACCATAAGGGACGATTGTATTTTAATCAAATCTTAGAGTTGTTTTTGTAATTTACCCCCCCCCCAAAAAAAAACACTTTCTAGCAATCTAATTAATCGCAAAAATAAGTAAAGAATAAGATGCTAGACAAGTTACAAAAACCTTATAACCCTCAGTTAAATTATAGAACTTATAACTCTAAAACTTAAATTAAAATTAATTGACAAGAGTTATAGAAAATCATTATACAATAAGCATGTAAATAATTCTAGCAATCATGCAAATAATTCTAGAGCACTTAACAATAATAAGCATGTAATTTAACTTATATTTAGAAAATTTAGAACATGCAAATTAGGATATAAATCTAAAATTAATAAATATGTGAAGTAAACTAGAATCTAGAACATATGAACATGTACATAATTCTAGAACTCTAGAAAATAAAGAATATGCAAGTTACCCTAAAAATCGAGAAAAGAATAAACATGTGAATTAAATTAGAATGTAGTAGATATTAAACATGTTGATTATACTAGAAAAGTAGGAACTAATTAGTATGTCAATGTTAACTAAAAATTTAAACACTCATGAGCATACAAACTATATTATAAAATTATAAGATAAAAAGATATGCAAAGCATGGTAGGAAACTATGAATCACATACTCATCAAATAAAATTATACCAGAACCAAATAGGCATGCAAATTATGCTTAAAGATGTAGGAATAAAAAACATTTTTATTAAATTGAAAATTAGAACATAACATTGCTTATATTAATATACTACTAAATATGAATTTCTAATCATGGATTCCAAGAAATGAAATACTGATCTTCCGGAAACAATACCAAGCATATATATATATATATATAAATTAATGTAATTTTCTAATCATGACTTTCATAAACAAACAGTGGGCTTACGATGCTACAATTGCTATTCATGCACTCTATACAAAATAAGTAGTGGCATTTTATTTTCCAATGACCAAAACAGTAGCAACACAGTGGAGAATAAAAGTAATTGAAATTATACAAGAATCTATTTGTTCAATTTCACGGGAAGCAAAAAATTCGCCGTCTCATCGTGAGTGTTGGAGGTATATCGGTGTCTGTCTCTCAAGATACGATGGTCTAGACCCGCTAATGCAAAAATGCTTCTGTTTAGCTTCGGTGAACGGATAATGGCAACACTCTCTTACATTGGAAAATGAATATAGGAGCAAAAATTCTGTATAGTATGGAAGTCAAAAAATTATGTGTTGAAACCAAGGAAGATGATCTCTTTTTATACGCAATGAGGGAGAGAGGAGGAGCCTCCAGCCATAAAGGCTGGCAGCAAATGCACCCATTACTCCTGCAAAACTGATGGGGAGTAAGTATGTGAGTTACACACTCTATATACACACGTGTATATCTGCAGCCACCAAACAAACTTGGCCTAAAAAGATTAGGTTAATAGACTACCAATCCGGCTCAACCCAAACCTAACCCATTCCTGCAAGTCCTACGGATCCAAACCCGACCCCAACCCATTCCTGCAAGTCCCACGGATCCAAACCCGACCCCAATGGGTGGCGCACATGTGACAATTTTTGCATAACCAACTTAGACTATAGTTTTGGCACAAGCCCATCCTTGAAACATTCATAACTCATTTTCTTCGGAAAATTTGGATGCCCCAAAGGGCTCATGCCCTTATCAAAATCTTGAGGTTTAAATAGCCATCAAAGTTTTTCTCTTCAATCAATGTGGGATTAGTAGTTATACACAATTCCCAATATCTTATTCATGAGGCTAATTTTATGAAACAATTTCTCATTTAATTCTTAATAGTTTTAGTAATTATTTTTGTGGTTTAAAGATCTTGTTATAAAGAATCTAAACACATTTAATCTCGCCTCAATCAATAGTTGAGATCTACTTTAATTTAATATTAAAGTTATCATAAAATCATTTTTTCCAACATATTAAAATGAAAAGTCGATTGCATTTTTTCTCTTCTTATCCAAATTTGGTGACTCATATATATTTTTTTGATACCATATGTGAACACCAAAAACATTCATAATAATCACGATTGTTTAATGTTTCGAGTAAAGTTAGATGTAAATATTCTACTCTTTTTTTTTTTTTCTTTCCAATACCTCGTGGGATACTTTCGAACGTAGAAACAAGGTCCGTTTCATGCTTTTAGCTCGAAACCCCTTTGACAATACTGAAAATTTGTAAGGCATACCTCTAGTGTGAGTGTATGGTGAGAACAATTTCATGTCTTTGCTATGTTTGACATGTTGGTTTGAAGTTATTTTAGTTATAAAAATATAAAATAAGTTAATAAGATAAAATATCACATCTAAATCATAATTATTTTATTTTTTTTTCATAAAAATAAAAAAAAAATAAAAAACCTATTTTGTCTTAGGCTTTTCAACTCGCATCTCAAATTAAAGCTTTGTCCGAGGTAAATATGCCTTTTATTGGACTAGTCCTAGTAGAGTTGATTCAAAACTCAACTTAGGGAGTGTTTAATAATATGATTCAGCACTTAAAATTGATTATATTAAATGATAATCAATTAAGTCAGTTTGATAACCGCAATTGATATTCTTTAAAAATTAAAGTACTTCTTAAAATGTAAGCTAAAACTTAAATAAAATTTAAATCATATGAAACTTACTTAATTCTGATTAAATTTATAAATACTAAATATAAGTATTAGTATACACTATTATAAACTCACTACCACCACCACCACCACCACCACCACCACCATCATGCCACTACCGCTGCCACCACGACAACGACCATCACTGCCACTACCATCACAATATAAAATCAAAATATATAATTTAAAAATAATAAATTTCAAATTTAACCTTATGCATATTAAATAATTTATTTTTAATTCAACACTTAAATTTGTATCAAATAACTTTTTGACTTAATAAATTTAATATTCAGTTTTCAATATTTAATTTTCAATCTTCAATTTTTAGTTTTTAGCTTTATCAAACAACACCTAAGTAGGATCTCTGTCATCAATTTAAAAGCTAAATTGTTGATCACCATTTCAACTAAAAGTAGTAAATGTTATAGAAGGGGACAACTTGTCAAGTAATGCTGCACAAACTAACAAATCTTACAAATATATATATATATATATATATATATTTAACTTCTTGATGTGGCACCTACCATGTTATTGAAGTGAGTCTTGTCTCCAATTCCAAAACTTCATTATTGCATGACACATTAATTAATAATAATAATAATAAAAATTGTAAAATTTATTAGTTTGTTTAGCATTTTCCCAGTTATGGGACAACTTGAGTGATTGTGGTTTGTGGCCCAGTGTCTGGCTTAAAGAGATGGGTTTATGAACAACTATAAGAGGATTGCTCATTCTCCAGGTGATAGGGGATCCAGGTGGTCATAATATTAACCCATACATACATACATACATACCAACCTTGGATGGTCAGATTGCCAACAATGTCTGGTAGATTAGTCATCAAAGAAAACAAAGATGTTGCCTTTCCTCATTCCATTCTATTAGGGATTAATTGTATTATCTGTTCACTTATGTATAAGATTTATACATGCATCTGCCAAATCTTTTAATAAGATAAGAAATGAATCCCCTGGTAAAATAAATTTTAAAACAGAAAAAGAAAAGAGAAGATCCGTATATCATACAGAGACAACAAATTTAAGGATGAAAGAACATGCATGCAACTGTTCAAAAAAAAGAAAAAAAGGAAAACATGCATGCATGACTAGCCAATTTGAATAAGAAACATATTGTAAGGCACTCTACATGATTGGGCTATCTATGGCGTAAAAGCTCCTGCCTTTTAGCATCAAGTTCTTTGAGGTTATTAAGAACAAATTGGACTTTGGTCGACAGATGTTCATTGTGATCTTCAACATCTTTCATAAGAGAAAGCAACTGGTCATGATATGCTACACTTAGTCGTTTCTTAACCCGCAGTTCTGCAGTCAGTTCCTGAATTTTCTTATAGCCAATTTGAATAAGAAACATATTGTAAGGCACTCTACATGATTGGGCTATCTATGGCGTAAAAGCTCATGCCTTTTAGCATCAAGTTCTTTGAGGTTATTAAGAACAAATTGGACTTTGGTCGACAGATGTTCATTGTGATCTTCAACATCTTTCATAAGAGAAAGCAACTGGTCATGATATGCTGCACTTAGTCGTTTCTTAACCCGCAGTTCTGTAGTCAGTTCCTAAATTTTCTTACCTTTCTCATCCCACAAATAGAATTGCTTAAGCAAATAATAAAAATTTCAAACAGAAATTGTTGTGGATGACATAAATGGACATAAAACACAGAATATCTGGGAAATATTATTTTTATCACATTAATTATGGTGAGCTAAAGATAATAAAATTTAACAGGAAAAGAACAAGAAGATAATTTACCAATACAGGACAATTTCATTGCAATTCATTTAACATACTAATTCATTCCCTCCTTTTCCTAAAAAAAAAAAATCATTAACCTAAAATAGACGTTCAGAAGTTTTACCCCCACTAACCACATAACCTTCCTCTTCCTCACCCCGCGCCCCCCCCCCCAACACACACACACACACGAGCTCCTCTCCAAAAACAACCAACCGATTAAGATTATATTACACTAAATAAACGTGCAGATGATATATGTGGATTGGAAGCCAAGTCAAACCTAACCCTTCTAGTTTAAGCATGTTGAGAAATCTGAGTTATGCTATCAATAAGCTTTTTAACCTATATCATTAATGGTCATAATAATTGAGTTAATTTGATATATGCATCTATGAAGTCTTTAATTCATCTCTTATGCATTTTTTACACTTGGCAAGTACAATTTTGTAATCTATAAACCAACAAAATAAACCTACAAAATTATAACCAGTTTTTATCATTAAACTTAAAAACTATGGATTACTATGGTGATTTATTACTATACAACGGCAGGTTAAAAACGCATTATTCAAATTAAATTTCTAGAATACTTATCTTTACTACTACCTTAAAAATAATACAATCCTAATTAGACAGCAAGGATCATTCTGTTAGAATTTCCCATCTTTACCTTCACCTACTCCACTACACACTCCACTTCACCTACCTCCACTTCACCACACACTCCACTTCACCTAACCCAACCTAACCCACTATCACCTCCACTACACCTACTACCACATTTTCTTCTATATATAGATTGTATAGGAATTGTAATTAATCAATCTTGTAATACATCAGATATCAATCAATAATATATCATTTTTAACACATTCCATTCAAAGATTGGTCTTAAAACGAACCTCATAGAAAGCAACCCTATGCGATCGTCGGGGTGGTACTTTGCTTGGATTGAGCTCATGATTATGCTCTTTGACAAAACCATATATAACCCACTTCCCTCCATCTTTCGCAGCTATCCTCAACATCGCATTGCATCCCTCTCTGGTAGCTGGCATTGATGGAAGACTTCTGTTCTCTCTGTGAGCATATTTATCTGCACGGAAACCTTCTTTTGAACAAACAAATTGCCGTCTAATTATTGAGTTATCTTTAAGTGATCGACGGGTGCGATTATTTCGCATGGTAAAGCCCACACGTCTTCCATACATCTCATAGAATTCCCTAGCCTCCTCTGCTGATTCAAACTCCATGCCAATATATGGTTCTAAAGGTTCCAAATTTAGAGGTAGATTTTCATTGGATGGTTTTATGATATCATCATTTCCATTTACATTATCTGATAGGTCATCTTCTGCTGTGTCATGACCATCAAATGTTTCAGCCAACCAACGCCTACAGATTCTGTTTGAATTATATCCTTGATCTGAAGTGCTTGCCATTATGAACCTACCAGAAGATAAGAGATACATAACATCAATCGACATCCTGGAGTACGCAGATGAAATCAAAGCAATGGAACATTTATTCTCCCTGCATCCTATTCATTCAAAAGAAAGCAACAAGGGCGCAGATAACAGTATATACTATCTATTGTTCAGCTGTGCATTCCAGCTTGCAACACAACCAATTTCATAACTATGACAACACAAATCACATTTAGATTCAAATGTGCAACCTAGGAATAAATCCTTTTGAGTATGCAGTAGTGAAATTGAAGATGTTTCTAATAACAGGGAGAAACACTTGTGTCTGAAACATAACACAAAAATAGGTTGATGATAAAACAGAAGGAGAAAGAATTCTGGTTTCACTTTATCTAGCCTATCTTTTGGGATTTCAAATCTCTTGCTTTGTGGTATGAGACAAACAATAGGGGCAGACGGACAGATTATATAAATATATAAATACCAAGCACCATTATGAATCTGAAAGTCTATGAGAGAGATTTTTTTTTTGTGTGTGTGTGTGTGTGTGTATGTGGATATATTACAGAAATAACAAATCATAATAGCAATTTTGTTCATCATTAGCTTATGACGGACACAATAGTATCAATTAAAAACAGCAATAATTGACATTTCAGTATCAAGTCTTCACCAGGCATGATGGACTCATTAGTATCATTAGCCCTTGTAATATGACAACTAAATTCATAGATGTAAAAGAAACAAGGTTTGTTCTTCATTATCTTGCAAGCCACAAATATTCACAGTTCATACTAAAATCAAGATAGACTCCTCTCCACCACACTCAATAAAGCAAATATACTTTTGCACTCCAAAACAACCAAACAATCAAATCATGAATTCCATCCACTCAAAAAGGCAATGACCAAAAACATGTATGCATCAAAGCAGTCCTTTTTAATGACTATCTCTTCCCCTTAAGTAGGATGACAAAAAAAAATAAAAGATGAAGAAGGGAGGTTAAATTACACAAACATCCCTTAAGATTGGCATAACTACACTGTGCTCCCTTAAGATTTTTCATTCATATAACATTTTGACCATTTTCATCAACCATTCAATAGTTGTATTGATGAAAAAAATGGGGGGAAACACAGAACCCCATAAGTTTGGCATAACTACATTGTGCTCCCTTAAGATTTTAATTCATATAATATTTTGGCCATTTTCATCAGCCATTTGTCAGTTGTATTGATGAAAAAAAATGATATTATCATATATTTTACACTAAAATATATAATTTATCCACGACTGTACCTACACACCAGCATTACTAGTTGGGGTTGTTTAGCCTTACTAAAAGGGAGGTCAGTGTAATTATGCCAAACTTGTGAGACTTATTATATTTTTTCTCAAACCTTAGGGGTGGTCAGTGCAACTAAAATAAGAAGTACCAGAGACATGGAGAATGTACGTAGCTAAAAGGACCAACAACTTTCCACATCTATAGAGCACATATCTAGATAATCTAATGATTTTAGTGTCAAAATAACACAAATTTTCCTATCTATATAGCAATGCATAATTAAATACTTAATAATGATAAATATATCTCATTTGATCAAAATATATAATTAAATACAAGATGGAAATAAACATGCACATATGTTGAAAATTTCAAATGTAGCAGCATGTGGTAACTAGTAAGTTGTTTACTTCAGCGGTTGACATGCAGCAGACATGAGCAAAAGATTTAGCAAAAACTTAGTACACCATTAGACATTTTAGGTGCATTAAACATTTATTTACGACAATGCATGATTGGATATTGATTAAGTAGTGGGCCACAAATGTTTTGGGATTTAATTAGATTTATGCTTACAAAAAGAATTTATTGCAATTGCATATATGTCAATTCATGCAGCTTTTAGAAAAGAAAAGAGAATCGAGGTGATCATTCGCTTGTTTTGTTCTGTGAAGCCCTAGGTAAAATACTTAAGAGGTACAAAAAATGTTTATATGCAAATACATAACAGAATTAGGTAATAAGAGAAATGAAGATAGTATTATCATATTGGTTATAAATTGGATAAATCGTGTTGGATAACTTTGACGTATATCGTTGTGCCCATTTCCTAACAGTTTAAGCTAGGGGACAATTGGTGATCCAACATGGTCTCATAGGAGCTCAAGTTGGGACAGATGTCTGTATAAGCAATGGAGGTGTAGGGATTCTCTATAACCAACTCAACTGAATGTGGGAGAGCAAGTAGCAAAATGGATCGCATGGGTCTTATCTCATGTATTTCAACAGTGAAAGACTTGGAATATAAATAGAAGCACCAATAGAAGGTAAAAGGGGAGACACAGAGAACTTTGGAGCAACTCCAAAGTTTCTCTTATGAACCTTTATCAACTTTGTTTTTAACATTTTATGTTCCCATTGTTAAACCTCTTAGGTTAATTCGGTTTCAAATTGTTTTGGCCTTATATTTGTTGAATCCAGTTAAATTCATCATATATTTTTGAGATTTCATGAATGTTAAATGAAGGTAGTTTAGTTGTTTTTAAATCCATTCTACTATTATAGAAGTTTTTTATACGGTTAGGAAAATTTGATACTTGCACAGAGGTAAAAGTAAAGACCAGTGGCAGTGATTGGCCCCTTGAATCACATACATTTATATGTTTTGTTTGGTAAGAAGTCAAGGATCTCAATTCCTAGAGTTGGGCAAAGATTTGATTGGTCCTTCAAAGAGGTCCATAAGGGAATACCACTACACACATTGGGTGACTAATCAAACCATAAATACGTTTAAATTGACTCTATTAACAACTTCGCTTCGACGAATTATGATGCCTTGTAGCTTTACATTAATAGATTGATTGAGAGAATTGAGATCATAACAACTACAAAGTGAATCCTAAACAAGTAGAGGAAGAAATGTATACAGAATGACATACATACCAAAGTTCAATTTCGTGGCAAAATGTTCGCCGAAAACGATTAACAACATTAGCTTTGCATTTCTTCTTCTTCGTCGGAGAGAGAGAGAGAGGGAGAGGGAGATAGGGAGAGAGAGTTGTGAACTAAATCGGAGAGAATTAGGTAAAAATGTTCACAGGGGTGGGAAGCAGAGGACCAAGACACGAAGTGGTTTGGACTCTAATCATGGTCCCCAGCCCATGGGTTCCGAATGGGCGGGTTCGGTTTTGAGGGCCACACCCACCACACAACCCAAGTGAAGGAGCAATCCTCAATGGGGCCCTCAGGTTGTTTTGGAAAATCACTCATAAATTGAATTTTTAATTTTAGGGCAAATTATAAAAAAAAAAAACCTCTAAGGTTTACCGTGTTTTGAAATTTAAATCTCAAGATTTTAATTTTAACAATTAAAATTCTGGAGTTTATTCCGTGTCATAATGTAAGCCTCCGTCTATCTCCGTTTCATAAAGTAATAGAGAAAGTCATTTTTAGCGTCAAAACCAACCTAAAACGACGTTGTTTCGTGTCCAAATTTTCCATAATTTCTTCAATTTAGTCGATTAGGGCAACACGGTCGACGAATCCAAAGCGGAACGAAGCTCAATTTTCAGCCATTGCGAAATATGAGTGAAAGAAACAGCTGAGGTGGAAACAATTGGGGTGAATCGACTCGTTGCAGTTGTGGATTGAGAGCAAAGATCCGAACTTCATGGATCCATGAGAACCCAGCTAGGAGGTTTCTTGGTTGTCCAAATTATGGAGTAAGTTTTCCACTCTCGTGAACAATATGAAATTTGTGTATATTTTTGTTCTCTAAAATCTGGTTTTGATTAGTATTTTGTAATTTATTTATTTATTTATTTTTATTTATTCAGAAAAACGGGGCTTGTGGCTTATTCTCTTGGTATGATCCACCCACTTGTCCTCGTGGTAGACAAGTCTTGCCGAAGTTGGTGGACAAGGTTGCAAGCTTAGAGGAAATGGTAACTGAGATCACAAGATTGGAGGAGATTGTTCAAACTTATCGTCGTAGACAGAAATGGATTGTAGTTGGATTGATTGTTGCAGTGATTGTAATTGAAATGTTAACAGTGAGCAGTTAGGGAATGTAGGTTAGTTAGTTAGCATTTGTGGTTTAGGAAATGTAATGACAACTATGCACTTGCCAATTTGAACTTAATGTATAATTTTGAATGAAATGAGAAATCTATTTTTTTTTCTTTGTTTTTAAAGTGGTTTTGGATTGTGGTAATGTTTGTTTGGTTGTCTACATTTTCTAATGAAGTTGATGCATTTGTTTTGGCAATACTCTGAATATGTTTGACAAAATGTCCAGGTGAATGGAAATTGAACAAGCCAAGCATGAAATAGATTAGAACAAGCATGTAAAAAACATGAACAAGCTAAGCCAAGCATGAACCTATTCCAAAGCAATATTCACCACAAACCAAACTAGTTTACACCAAACATGAACCAGATTACAAAAGAGGCCATTGTCCAACCTGTTCCAAGCCAATATACAACACAAACCAAGCATAAAAAAAACTAGTAAATCTCATTACAAACCATCCAACTTGTCAATCCCATTAGAAACCAAGCATGTATAATAACCATCCAACATGTCAATCCCATTACAAACCAAGCATGTACAATAAATTATTCCAAATACTTAATCTGTCTTTAATTCCATTGTTGATGCAAAATAGCAGTTCACCATTACAAAAAAAAAAGAAAAAAAAAAAAGAGTTCACTATTCCAAATACATAATTTGTCTTTAGATGACATGACCATCACAAAAAAAGAAAAGAAAAAGAAAACAAGAGTTCATAATCACAATATTTAGTTCACTATGTCTTTATTAACACTAGCTTGACTACCTATGACTTATTCAACTTCATCCCTTCTCATGGTTGTTGCTGGTGTTGATGTCCTTTTTGTTGATGCTCTATGTACTTGTTGCTGCACTCCACTGGTTGATCTTGTTGCAGGTCTCCATTGTGGTGGCTGCTGCTGCTGTCCACCAGTTGATGTTGCCCTTCTTTGTGGTGGCTGCTGCTGTTGTCCACCAATTGATGCTTCCCTAGATATTGCTTCTAATCTGAATCCCATAAAAGTTTGTCGACTCCTCACCTGTTACCAAAAAATTATTAAACCACACTTTGAGCATACATGGAGGTCAATTACATATTACAAATAAAGCATACCAATACATTACTTATATTCTTTGATGAACTTGCAGCTCCATCCTTTTTACCCTTGACAGGCTCCTTGCATGTTCTTTGATTATGACCATATACACCACACTTGGAGCATTTGAGGTTGGTACACTTCCTCTACAACTTGAATACGTTCTGTCTCTAATTCTTTGATTTTGAGGCCTACCAGTTGGCCTTTTCAGCTTAGAAGAAAGTAAAGGGTCATAACCTGTCTTAGGCCATTGATCTTGCCCATTAACTAGATTTATGAGTGACTCATAAGTTCACAAGTAGGTCTCTTTTTTGAAAGCCACATGCACATAATCCTCAACTCTCTCTTTTTGAGAGAAAATAGCAGCCACATCACGAGGACAGGGGATTCCAATTAGATCCCACTTGAAACAATTGCATGTTCTATTCTCTAAGTTGACAACATAACCATTTACTCCATATCTAATTTCAAATTGGGCACCCCCTGACCAGGTAGGTATCCATACTCTAGATTTTAGCTTTGACCTCTCAATCTTAGTTTGTATGTTTGCACAAATTGGCCCTTGGTACTTGATCATTTTGTCCCTACATTCATGTAGCCTCACCATTAAAGCCTTCCTAATCCACTCTAACATGGTGAGGATGGATCTATCTCTAGCTGGTAAGACCCAATTGTTAAAACACTCTGAAATATTGTTGAGGCCTTCATACATTGATGTTAACTTTTGAACCTGGATTGGTCCTTATTAACTCAGCAGCATAAGTGTCACAACTCAAATTCGCTCCTAGAGGTTTAGCGCCATAACTAGCTAGTAATCTGTGATTAGCAAAGGCTTGCCTAACAATAATGACAATAACACACTAATGGGGTTGGCGGAAACCAATCAATAATAGAAAAATAATGCCCAATGAACTGTGAGAACTTATATAAACAACACACGTTTCATATACTTATATATGAACAAACACTTAAGTTCATAAAACACTTATATACAAAAACAAAACAAAAGTTAGGGAATTAAATCCCTAAGACCAAAACAGTACAATAAAAGTCAAAGATCAATCTTGCCACTTGGCTGATTACAAATGGGTGAGTCTGAACCCCTAAAAAAGCCTTGACACGTGTTAGGCCGGAACCTCACGGTGAGGCGCAATAGTTGGCTTGACAAAAATAGGATTCGGGTCAATGTTGTTAACTCTGATCTGATGCCTGGCAACCTACATATACATAATAAACAATGAGTTAGAGCCCAGTAAATAACAACTGCATAAAGGGGTTATGAACGATGTCCTTATAATAATTGAAACAGTTAATTAATCAATGGATCAATTTCTTAATCAATGTGTTATATCATAACAATAATTTCGATTCATATAATCATACGTGGTACATCCCATAGCAGAACAATCAATAAGTCTTAAAGATTGAACAATCATTTGATGGCCATCAATATAATACAATAAGAATAGTTTCAAGAATTGGAACTGACAGAGATCTCTGTAACAATAACAATAACAATAGCAATAACAATATGCTATGGATGCCACGAGTACAGTTCGGAAAATAGGACAATCATTCATCAGTAAACATTATCATTTTAGTAAAACAATACATTTTCATCAATCAGAAAATAATTATAATCGAACATAGCTTTACAACAATGTTACTCACAATGGGCTCCTTGACTATGTGTATAAAAAGTAGCGTTCGACCTAAACAAGCAAAGTTAAGCACAATTTTATTATAATCATATCATTCAATTATTCAGTCAATCCTATTCAGTTTGGTACTTATATCTATTCAATTTATTTGCTTGTTACTCGGTTTCTATTTATTACTTAACCGTTTGGTTATAATGTTTGTGCTTTAGTTTCTTTCGTGCTTATGATATGAACATGAATCCAAATGCACATGAAAACACTTTAAAACCATGTAAATGGAGGCCCGGAAGGTAGAAAACTTGAGTGAAAACAAGGCTGGGCCTACCTTGTTGGCCGCACGTGTGGTGGCCATAGTCGTTCGAGCGTACAAATTGCTTGCTGTAAGGAAGGATTGGCCCCTCGTATTGTGAGGCCCCTGAAAATTTTACTTTCTTAAAAGTCCCTTACTTTTAAATTATTTCCTTGAAGTCCCTCAGCTTCTTAATTAATTGCAATTTTAACCCTATGATCAAAATATATGCGCCAACTGAAAACTCGCAAACCCTAATCGATTTCAGTAACTTAGGAATCATTTTCTAATATTCTAATACTGATTAATTGACTCCCTAAATATGGAATTACCACTTGAAAACCCTAGGTTTTTCTCATTTTTATCGCGCTTGTCGGTTAATCGCCTTTTTAGTCGAAATAAGAAATCCAAACCGAATTAGATTCTCTAATCCTAATTTAGTTTAATTCTACACTAAAATAAATATTCCAATTCATAAATTAAATACTAAGCTCTTACACTTTTATTAAATCACTTATTGACCCCAAACAAGTACTATTATATATATATACATCTGTACGTTAAAACTTATTTTATACACTATATTTTACAATTTCGAACATTTGTACACAAGAAAAAAATAAATTAATTCCCTCAAATCATCATCAAGTGGCTGGCCACCCTAGAGGAACCCTTTGTTGTGTACTTTTTGGGACAATAATGCTTGATTTCATGAAGAATTTTGACTAAATCCCCAAATCATGGAGATATGTTTGTACTAGTTTTCAATATAATTCTATCTTGACCAAACTATGACTAAATCATGTTCCGAGTTATAATTAATCTTCTTAATCAACCTCCATTTCATTCCATTCTAACCAATTACAAATTCTTCCATCCAATTCCAACCAAGGGCTTTTTAGACTTTCCACCATATTTTTTTTTTTATAAATATGACCTTTGCCCTAGCATTTTTGCACATCAAACACACTCACACACTACACATTTCATCTGAGGGAGAGAAAAAGAGAGGAAGAGAGCTTTGGTGGTAGA